CAGTCAATAAAGTGCGCCCTCTCTAATGAGATTAGTTTTTGTACTTCGCATCTCGCACAATGCGGTCGTTCGGTTAGGCTGAGATATGTTTGTTTAAGTGTCAAAATCTCAGTCAGAATCAGTTTTTTAACAAATTTGAAATAATTCCTATGAAATATTATATTTCACAAGTGTCAATACTAGCAATGGATAATATCATGTCGGCCGTTTTTATGTGTGATAACAGAACCTAAATCGAGGTAAGGTTAGGCCTAGCCTAGCAGCGTTGGATAGGCTAATGTTTTCGGCGCCTACGATTATTTCTTCTCACGACCTAACGCAAAATCAACATGAAAAATTCATCCGCATTTATTTTTTGTGTGGAACACAAAAAAAAATCAAATTTCAGTCTTATTTTACATTTTTTTCATTCTTAGGAATGTCTAAATTCAGTTAAACTAGCAATTCCGTATTATATTTATAAATCTTTATAACATTATACAAAAATTAGATTTTTCTTAAAAATTGAAATTTTGCCAGGAATGGGGCTTTAATTAGGTAAGATCAATGGCAACGCAAATCATAAAAAACAATTCTGAACCCATGTTTATAGCAATTAACAATGTTATATGCACTTCATTGAGTTTTGCTTACTTGAATGGACTGAAATATACTTTGTCATTCTTAATTCTTCCTCTATGACAAAAATATTTAATTTTCTTTAAAAATACCCAAGGATTTGAACGGAATACCCAAAAACCCAAGACCAAGTCAAAATACCCAAGATCTTGGGTAAATACCCAAGCAGTGGTCACACTGGTGACTATTCACAATTTTTGATATACCCAATAACTGGGTCGAAATTACCCAAGATTCAGCAAAAATTGCCCAAAATTACCCAAGCTTCCTGAAAATGCATTAAAATTTGAAATGTATTCGCATGTATAGTTTTCCTTTTAGTTAAATTTATAAACCATTTTTTATTGTAATTGTTTGTGTTAATTATTAAAATTAATATTCATGAGGTGATAATACAGATAGAAAAATACGCCCTCAGTCGGCCAGTGTTATGATCAAGTTTTATGTAATGTATTAATTAGGTGAGATCAATGGCAACGCAAATCACAAATAAACAATTCTGAACCTATATTTATAGCAATTAACAGTCAATTAACAATGGTATATGCACTTCGTTGAGTTTTGCTTACTTGAATCATGGAGGAAATATATTATATACTCTATATTTCCTCTATGCTTGAATGGACATATACTGTAAATAATGAATTATGATAATTGCATTCTCAGATTTTCAAATTTACCAGCAAATTAGCATATAAGCCAATGGAGACAAAAAAGAAAAAACAAAACAAAACCCTCTTGAAGTTTGTTGGCTTTTTTTGTTCTCTTCTCGCATATCATAAGCCGGAACCATTATATCATATGATTTTAAATACATTCCCATCTCTCCTTAAATTTTGATAATTTTTGTTTCCTTTTGTAAATAAGATTTTCTATTTTGTGGAGTACCTAATTTTATTAATAATAATAGTAGTTTTTTACAAAACTATACCTATGTACATGACAAACTATTCTGGAAAGTAAGCACTTAAATGATCCCCAAATTCACACCAGAATTTGAATTGTTACCTAAATTACTAATTCCAGAAAGTTTAATTCAGATCAATTAATCAGTTTTTGGGATACCTAGTGTGGTGTGTACGAGAATCAGAACAAAAACAATGGCTTTTCCTGCTCCTAGGAAAAGCCAATAATAACATCCAGTCAGCTTTCTAAAATTAATGCAAAGTACATTCAGGGATAGGAGGGTTTTATCGCAGTCATGTTAGTTTATTATTAAATTTTATCATATTCACGAGCAAAGAGATAATTGTTATTGTTGATAACAGATTGGTATCATAGGAGGCACAGGACTAGACAATACAGACATCCTTCAGGAAAGACAAGAGCATTATGTTGACACCCCATTTGGCAAGGTAATGCTTTTTAAGCGTTTTTATAGTGTTTTTGATGTTTGTTGTTTTTACAGGTCTTGTTTTGCTGTATTTTTATACCTTCATGTTCTGTATATTTTATTGTAATATTTAGAAATCATGTATTTTAAATATTTTAATGAAAATGAATGCGCTCATGCTATTTCCATTTTATTGGGCCAAATATATTGAATTTTGAAGGAATATAGGAGCTATGGTAATTACAAAAATAATGAACCTATATTTTAATTGGAAAGTAAAAATAGGTTTCTGCAATGGTACTTTTCATCACCAAAATAATTAGCACAGTTCACAATGAATCCCTTAAGCAAGTAATGCTCATTTTGAGCCTGAGGCATTAACAGTTTAATATCATTAATGTAATGCTCATTTTGAGCTTGGGCATTAACAGTTTAATAACATTATGTTCACAGCCTTCTGATGTTTTGGTCCATGGCAAGATTAATGGTGTAGATTGTATTTTGCTTTCAAGGTAAGAAGCTGTGTACAATGTGTAACTTCTCTACATTACCTCCTTAAATATACATTTGTGTTGGATGGTAAAACTGAAAAAAAAAACAAAAAAAACACTGTATACAGAAAACTAAATTTTCTTTATTTTATATACATGCTATAATATTTTACCTTTTTTGTTGCAGTGAACCATCATTGACCCATCGGGTGTGTGGGCACTGTTCGCTAGTGCATTCTATAAAAAATAACAAAAACAAACTGTTAATTACAAACCCCATGGAAGCCTGTATAGCTTTGGAATACTTCCATGTCCATGTTCAAATCGTGCCAGTACAGGTTTTTATTTGTGACCTAAAGCCATGTTAGCATAGGTTAATTTGACCCAGATAAAAGAAGGCTGGCTGTTCACACTAATTAGTTTGGTCAGACTAACCATACACATGGTCATTTTTTTTTAAACCACATAAATATGTCAATTTGATTTATCCCAATTGTTTTGTCATTGCAGACATGGCAGGCAACACACCATCATGCCATCAAATGTGAACTACCGTGCCAACATCCATGCATTGGTAGCCTCTGGATGCACCCACATCCTGACATCCACAGCTTGCGGATCCCTACAGCAGAACATCGTGCCAGGCCAGTTTGTTATCTTAGACCAATTCATTGATCGAACCACAAAAAGAATTCAAACATTTTATGATGGTGAATCAAGTAGTCCTGAGGGCATCTGTCATGTACCGATGCACTCCCCCTTTTGTGAGGATACCAGACAGGTAATTGGTCATCGGATTATAACGTATTGAGTACTGGTCAATGGTGGTCAACCAATCAGTAAATGAACAATATTCAGAGCAATTCTTTTTTAATACACATACTGCCAATGTTGACCTAGTGTGGTTTTCCCCTAGTGTGTGCCAATTTGGTCTTTCACAATTATTATACATTCTTTTTCGATGTATTTGCGGTAATAGCAAAACAACACCACTTCTATACATGCTTCATTATATCATATGAATTAAATATATTTTTTGTTTTACCTTAGATTTTAATTAAGGCTGCTGAAAAAGTTGGAATTGAATTTCATCAAAGCGGGACTGTGCTTACCATTGAGGGGCCTAGATTCTCAAGTAGAGCCGAGAGCTTACTCTTCCATAAATGGGGCGCCGATGTTATCAACATGACAACTGTCCCAGAAGTAGTCCTTGCCAAGGAGAAAGGTGTCTGTTATGCTAGTTTTGCCATGGCAACAGATTATGATTCTTGGAGAGATGATGAATCAGGAGAGCATGTACGTTTTTCTTAAATTATTTATTTTTTATATCTTTGGACATGTTTATGATAATGTTAAAAGTTAACAATTCTATGTATTACTCCACCCAAAAATCATCAGATATTGTTTATATAATTTGTTTGATTTATTATACATAATGCTTTACACAGGAAAATCTGACTATTACGCCCGATACCTGGTATTGTGCATACATTATGTTCTTGTTTAAAAAGACTTTCTCTTGGACTCTATGGATGTTCTATATCACAGGTAAATGTTGATGCTGTATTGAAAATAATGAAGGACAATGGAGAAAAGGCAAAGAAGCTGTTACTTGCTGCTATTCCACTTATAGCAGAGAAAGACTGGTCTCAAGTTATTCAAGAAACAAAGGTACTTATTTATTATTATTTTGTTGTCTTTCGCATCCTGCATAAAGCACATTGTCATTTACAGGATAGGACAATATGGTGTTCATGCGATTTTCATGTTTAATGAGTGCAGTTTAGTCTCAACAGGCCCGTATTTAGGAATTTCAATGGGGTGGGGGGTTTGGCTTGGGACTATGTGGAACTCCTTATCAAAACCCACATACTTCTTCTTCTCTCCCCTAAATGGGGACTTTATTCAGTGTGATAGGCCTCAGGCCCTTTTACAATATAAATAAATATACATTTTTAGTGCTTTAAATAAGGCGATACTTTTTTATACCTTGTTTAGCGAACCCTCCGATTCTAATTTTCACGGAACTCCATCTCCCGCAGGGGGGTTCGGACGAACCCCCTGAACCCCCCTTAAATACGGGCCTCTCAAGAATTGAACCCAGTTCCCTGCAAATATAAGGCAATCTGCAGTGCCAGTTCTCTTCAAGGTTCAAGTAGTCAATTAAAATTCAATTTAGATGGTTTATGTGCTTTTTTTTAAACTCAATTTCTGGATATTTATAAAGAAACTTTGTGTTGTTTGTCATTAATTTGTTTGCGTATATGGAATTTGTTTAAATAACAATGTTCAATCATAATAATTTATTATTAATTTTTCAGGTTCCTTTATGTGTCAAACTTGTATATTTCAGTTATTTTGACTAAGGATATTTTTCCTAAATCCATTTGGGATGTTTGAATTGTAATTTGTTATAACCAAAGTAAATATATATATAAATAGAATCATAGGTGTTGCTGTTATGATATTTACAGTTTATTTTTTCAGGCTACCCCTCTACAAGTTTTCACAAGGACAAAATTTGTTAGTCTTCATTGATAAAATTCATATAGTAGTCACATTGATTGTGGTTGGTACCCTAGGCCTTTGTGCTGTTGATTGGATTTCAATAAGAAATATGTAAAAAAAAATAGATTTGGCAATATATTAATTTAAATGATGTATTTTGTTCTTTTAGGCTGCAGCATTAGGATCAATAATGGGCACACAAAAGAAGTAGCAGAGAATTGTGGTATCCTAGCAAATTATTGTCATATATGAATAATGAGTGACCAAAGATTGAGTGCCCTAGATGCTAATCTTATGTCAGCCTACCACTTGAATCAACTCAAAATAATCTTTGGCAGCAATTGGTAGTCGTGCGACTTAAGGCAACATGAAAATATATACCAATAACATATTTTGTTCAATAAATAACAATATGGATGGGTAACATTCATAATGTAGAGTAAATGCCTGCATACGTGCCCTGGCACCTAATAACCCTTTTGGAAGCTTCAGTGCAGCGCTTATTCTAGAGCGGCACTTATATAAATATATTGGTGTGGCGTTTTCCATAGCCATTCCCATGTTACATGTCTCACACATTCCCGTAGTTCAGTAGGTCCTACCTCAGCGTAAATAAATAAATATTTATAAAGAAGTGCTTGTCTTTCATTGTGTTATTTATTTAACTCTGTATACACATTGTATTTAAATCCTAGTTTCTCAAAATGTTTCATTACACACAGGGTAGTGTGGCACTTAATCGAGAGTGGAGCTTATTCGAGAGATTACAGTATGTTCAAAAGTAGGATAATGTCTTTGATATAAATTGCATATTATATTACTATTTGTTTAACATGGTTACAGATTTTATACAATCTTGTGAAATTATTTTTGGGAAAATATATGACACTGGTTTTAAGTACTGATATTAATAATGTTTGGATTTGTAAAGAAGTCATTAAAATGGATACATGTACCACATATGATTACATTTCAATTAAATGAATTGTATTTATATTTAGAAGGTAGAATAGATAAATACACCATAGCTCTTAAGAAGGGTAATCAAAGAAATACATCATTTAATAGTGACAGCTCTCATTTTAACTTTATTATCTGCAATAAATACTTTAATTAACACTACTAGCAGCCGAAAAATGTTGTTTTTGTTGTTTTAATCATTTTCCTATTGCATGTTGAAAAGAAGCGGTTGTCAAGACGATTGCAAGTAAAAAATTCTGTTTTAACACGTTATTTTGGCGCGACCATATTGTACGTTGTACCCGCTTTGCAGATCTTTTAAATCAATTTTAATAATAACTTCAATTATATTTTATTTACAGAGGATACTAAAAACTAATTCAAATTGCATGGAAAAACCTCTAGAAAAATAGATGCACAGAATCGTAAACACTTGTGCTGTATACTATTAAGGCCTCAATTATCTGCAAAATGGCTTATGAATTTTAAATGCGGCGACAGACTTCTAGGCCCAAATTCTTTCACGTTGAATATTTTACAGCCTGGCCCATTCATCATTGTTGTATTAAATTGCTTACCTTTCAACAAAGGACAAGCTTTGTATATAACTCTGAGCAGTGGGTGAGGGACAAACGAATCCCCTCTCTCTGGAGATCTCTTGAGACTGACACATTTTTTAGACGGAAAATGATTCATTCATTTAAGCCCTAAACCCTCAGTTTTTAACTCCAGTTTTACAAGATTTGGATTTTATATGAACATTATCTTCATCACTTTGAAGTGAATGGTGTTTAATTACTCTGACAACTTCAAACGACGGGGTGGGGGTCTGCAGGCTTTTCTGACGGGGGAGGAGGGGATACTGATTTTCTCAAGTCACTCATGAAATCAACAATTCCAGGGCGATGCAAAGCAACAATGATTATATTAGTTTAAATAGCTAATGCTAAACTTGCCATTGATACATATACAATCATAATGTTTGACATATTTGTTTAGAACCGTCAATTTTTTTCCTTGGGGCTTTTTAGTCCCTGGCCCTTAATTGGACACTTTGCAATCCTCTGCTCCTAGGATCGGTTGTAACTTTAGCTTGAATTATTGCTGGGGACGTATACAAGGATAAAAATATTTCAAACTTTCACAACAACAGAATTGTGGGTCTCTGTCTTCCCCTCCGAAAGACCACATTGATCGCTTCGCTTTCTGGAAGTACTGTATTACTATTATAAGACTAAATATAAAAACAACTCAAATTAGTCTTATATCTAATCAAAACTGCTGATATTTCCCTGGCTTTTGTCCTTGCACCCTGATGGGGGTCTTTTTAGGGCCTGCGCTAGACCACTGTGTAGTAGAAACTTAGGCCACATTCTAACATTGATCCTCCATCCCACATTGTTTCTTATTGCTCTAGTATGTATACATTTATCACATAGTAGATCTGTCCATGGAGGAACACCTACATGGTCTGTCAATTAATCGACTTAAATAAAAAAAATATATATATACCAACACTCTGTTATTCAAAACTAACATATTCACTTGGAGGCCTAATTCAAAAGACAAAATTAATATGTTTATTTAAATAATTCATGGCATATTACACCCTGTGTATTCATAACACCCGTTTTATTTAATTAGACCTATCGGTATGTCTTTTTTTATATGTATTTCATAATATCCGTCAACATACAGACCGTGGTGGTGTATTGTTTTTGCAATATAACTGTATATCTTTAAGGTTCTGTCTGAAACTGAGTTCTTATAAATGACAAAATGTAAATAACACCATGGGATAAATACTGCTCTATTACAAAAAAAAATAGCTAAAAACATATTTATTAGTACACATTTTATAAATAAAAACACTAAGCTATCAACCTTTTTCGTCTGGTATCTTCTTGAATTACTGACCACAAACACAATGAAACACCTATAAAAATTTCAGACATGCATTTTTTTATTTTGGAGTATTATATGTAGAATGTCGAAATGGCTAATTTTGCCGTTTTTATACCGAAATGGTATTGAAGCTAGTATGTCACAAAATACTTTTGGTATTGTTTTGAAAGCTATTAAAATTGCTCTAACAAAACGATGTAGGCCTATACCACAAAACATATATATTTTGACCAAAAAAAAATTATATTTTTTTAGCTAAATTTAATATAATGCTTTTTAAATAAATATATAAAATACTAAGCTAACATTTCAAGTGTTGGTGTAGTGTATACAGTATATTTTTCCTTGTTTTACATTTGAAAATGTCTCCCTTAATAGGGGGCATCCAAAAGAAGCAGATTCCACTGTAGATATTACTGGTGTGATTACAAAATGAGTCTCATGGTTAGAAATTCAAAAAAAAAGTTTATATTTGGGTAGATCACATCATCAGTTTTCATTTGGTCTTTGAATGGCTTCCCTACTATAAGTAAATCCAGAGATGTGAGCATTTAAATTTAGGTGTATAAGAGCCACATTTTGAGGAAATCCGCCTCAAAGATAAACTAACCTGTACAAATAATATGACTAGAATTACAGAATATGTGCAGAGAACACTGTTTTGGCAAGAAAATTCACTTACAAAGTATACAATCATAAAATATAAGTATCAAGTTATTCAAAAACATTAAAATCAAAATTACTTTGACTTTGGCCTGTTTTGGTGAATATCTCAATATGATTTCACCAATGATGCGTCTCATTTCATGGTGAGACCACACATATAGGATAATTGCTGCTTCTGTATAATATAAGGAGCTTAAAAACTTTAAATTAAAAAAAAAATTAAAATTTAATTAAATATATGAACTGCTTATTTTGATATACTGTACACAAGTTGTTATATTTTATCATAAAAATAGAATGAAACAATATATTTCTGGTAAGTTAATGGATAAATTGCACTGCTGTTTCTATATTATTTTGCATGACCCTTTAATGTTCAACCTTAAAATGTTGACTCTGAGATGAAACATTGACTCAGAAATGTAGCAAGCTATATATTTGTATCAAAAACTGGTTTCAAGTTACTGTTGCAAGTTTGTTATAAAAAAATAAAGTTATTATAAATGTGAGTAATAAGTAAAAATGTTGGGGTAGTTCAGGAATGGAGGGAAGGGGGAAGGTTGGCTCCAAATTAAAATTGTATGTTACCACATACTCTTTCTCTTCTTTGACTCATCCTCCAACTTTTCTATCCACCATGATTCATAAAAAAATATACAGTAGTTTGGTTGTAACCAGACATAGGTTTTGAGGTAACCAAAGACATATTTGTGCATAAAACAAAAAACACAGGAGACATGAATATTCTGTATATTGATAGTAGCCCATGTTTTAGCAATCAGCAGTTGGCATAACCGTGTTAGGCACTAATTGATCAGTTTCACCATTGTAGTCGATTGATTGGATTGACTTTTCCATCCAACCTTTCAGACGTATTTGTTTCATTCTCCTGCTCTCATTTAAGACTCCACCCTGTAAGAGAAAGTGAACTGAGATGGTTGATGTGCTTTAGGGGCATAGGCTGAATCTGAATCAATACTGACAAAGGACCCCACTAGGGTATATGCGTCAGTGTGCGTCATCATACTGGGTGAAGGAGGGGTGCGAAAAATGAATATGTGGAACTAAATCCCCATTGCAATGAAAACTTAATGGTCATTTTTAGTTTTTAATACCACTTAGTGCACAGGTAGGCAAAGTGGGTAAATGACCTCAGGTCACTAGTCTTTGTACAGACTATATGAGCCCCTACACATTGTGGCCTCTGTGTTAAATCAAAAATTCACTTTGGACCTCCAAACTGACTTTGTGGAACTAGTTTGCTGCCATAGAGGAGGGGGTAAGTGGTCAAGCATGTGCTTGATTACAAATATGAGCATTTTCAAACAGCATTGTGTACTTGTGCTACATTATAATTTTCTTAGAATTTTAATGAAGATGAAATCAAATTTAATAACAATAATAATACTCTGATAATAACAGCAGCAATTTAGAACATTTAGCAGTGGATCAGCTTAAAATGGCATAAGCTAAGCCTACTTAATGTTTAATAAACTTACCCTTTTCCTGTCAATAATGTTCAGCAAAGCAGCTGTTGTAACACAACAGATGGTGTTACCTAACAAGAATATCATCACCCACTTCCATC